GAAACCGTTCGTGGGCTGTCGACGAATTTTCAGCAACCTTATGAGTAGTGATTACAACTATACGTGTATCATGATATCTCGAATATCGTAGCGACTGAAACATGAGGCGGCCTGGTGCAGCACATTCAGTTGCCTGGAAACATCACAAACGAGAGATTCAGCAGGGGGGCCAGGTGAGTCTTTCGAAAAACCAAATCAGTTTGTATTCCGCTGAATTCGGGAATATTAGAAGGGCAAATGCAGTCTCGAGTTACCGTCAACCTTTATTGTGCGAGTACAGTGATTATATGGACTGGTTTACGGACGGGGGACTCGGTACAGAGAGGTTCAACAGCTATAGGGGAGCATCATTAGTTGTGTATATTCATTACAGTGATAGAAGTTTATTTAACGGGATGCTGAAAATTTTTATGGCTAACACATTACAGATTATTTAGTATTTCGAAACATTTAGTAAAGCAATACTTACACTGAAAGTCATTACAATCAGTCAAAAACTTTAGGTTGATATATTTTCCAGCAGTCGTATCGGGATTTCGTTCGCTGTAGTAATGAGCTAAAAGCAGTAATCTTACTTACACTTTCCCATTCAGTTTCTTTGTGTGCTTCGGTTGAATATGCCTGTGGCGCCTAACTCTTCAGTTCACCCGTCCGCCCGTTCCTCCACGGAAATCTACGCTAATCTTGGACACGATACGTGTAACCTGACAGGTGTTGCTTCCATATTAGGCCATACATCATTCTAACGTTCTATGTTACGACTGTTTTTGCCTATCGGTCATCTTTCGGGAGTTGTTGGCTAATAAATTCCACGAGTTAGTTGCGCATCCTTGCAAATTTTGCTCACGATTTCGAGGATGAATTCTTCAGTGGTAGCCTGGTACCAATGATAAATGGGATAGACGGTTATCAAGTCATACCTTCTAGCAGAAAAGTTATTGTTGTGATAATTGCGAACCTGCGTTTATCACCAACCGTGGCGTGCGAATGGCCCTGAGCCTTTCTTTCAAGAAACGCCCTTTGAATAGCCTCTTGAATTTTGCATATGAAATGAATTGATGGCGTTATTCAGTTTGCAAAATTTGACAGGACAGAATAACAAGAATCTAATTCACCAATCTTGTGTTTGATGACAAACGTATTCACCACAGGGATGCCTCCAAATCCTTTACATCACACGTCACCTCGTTCCTTACAGTGTGTGCACTTACCGGCGTTGCTAAACAAACAATCCTTGTTGTTCAGCTGGTGGTCATGACATTCAAACTAATCCCGCTTTGACAATAATCAAATGTGTTATTACTTGTTAGGGGTTGGAAATTCACAAACTGCAACCATGTATGGAATTCGGGGCAAGCATTTTTGATGTACAAGCAGTGACAGGCAGAAGCCACCTCGTCGCCATGACACAAAGTGCTTAGAACACTACGGTAGATTCTTTTGTCGGCATACCAGCTGCTTTTTGTCGGCCTGTGTTGTCGTTTAGTATGAACTCTCACCTAGTTATGCAACAGTCGTTCGTACTCGACAATACAGGACAATGTACGAAATCTGTAAAGGTTTTGAAGTTAGCTTAATCGGCTTGATTGGTTAGAAATTTTGAGCTCATTTGTTAAGGAGTTGGTCTTTTGGAAGCACTGATGCTGCTGAATACCAATAAATTCACAACTAGTCAATTGTATCGCATTTCGAACCTTAGGGACTATACTAAGCTTTCGACATACTAGTCAAATGGTGCCCCTCAAGCGGTAGATATGCGTAAAATGATGATAAGTTCAAATCGCGGTTTGGCAATGCAAACCTACCTCATTTAGGTGCAGAAAGCAAATGGCAAGGAGTTCAGGTTGTCCGAGTGATTGACTTTACTCTTAAACTTGATTGCACCACCACCGGCTGACGTTTCCGGCATCCCAGTGGAATGCAAAAAGCTAAATGTTGAAATCTTTGCATTCAGAGCCATGGTAGTGAACGTGTAGACCGATGTTATGTGAGCAGTTAAATACAACTTTGGGGCTCAGTTCAGTGCTTGGTGAGAGAATGGTAGAAAGACCGTCACACGCGAGTTAAACAGCGCTGCGATTCGAAACGCCAGTTTTCAACTTGGTTTTCGTCATCGTAGACCTCGCTAATCATGTTGCAACTGTTCTTCTGAATTATTTTGTTCTAGTTGTTTGCGGTACAATATCACTCCTCAGGAATGCACTTTCCAGGTCTTCCTGACTCCCAACTATGAGCCCGTTTGATGGTGAGCAGGTGAGCACCGATAAGTACATGCGATAAAATTGACCACTTGCTTGACCCAGACCACAAGAATAGCTTCAAAACCATTTAATTTTCATTGGGCCGTTACAAATACATGGAGGAAAGCAGTACGATGATTCCGTTTAGATGGAATACGCTACTCACGGGTTAATTAACACGCTTCCACTGCCAACGACCGGTTGTGCACCGAGTTGGGCTCATCATATCGGCATTGATGGTCGTTGGCTTGTTCGCTGAGCTGGGCAATTTGGTTGCGAACGTTTCATCACCAATCGAGGTGACATTATCAGTGCGTAGTTGTGCGTAGCGGTGATTTGATGGATGTGGCACAACCACTAACCCACTGCTACGCACAACTACGCACTGATGATGTCACATCGATTGGTGATGAAACGTTTGCAACCAAATTGCCCAGCTCAGCGAACAAGCCAACGACCATCTACGCTACCTGAGCTACCGACATTGTCCTCTATAGAAAAAGATAGGCATTGTCTCCTAGTTGTCGTCGGCCTTACTTTTGGACTTCAAACAAATTTGAATGCAATTCGCGAAATGCACTTACCCACAAACCTAATTGCACAACACCGGTTAAATCGCCAAAAGGTCCTTCCACCTACGTACAAACCCTTCCATAGCTCTTATATCAGCTGACTCACATTCAAGTAGTTGAAGAATACTTACGCCTCTTAATTACAATTTGTGCTCCTAAACAAACCGGAATAAGATGAGTTTTTTGCGCAAAACATTAGCTTCCCCCACCGTTTGGAGCAATGGTCCCATATAGAATAGAAGAATTGGTGATTTCAAGCCATGAGAGGCTGTGAAAAAAATGCTCAATAAACAAACCGGAATAAGATGAGTTTTTTGCGCAAAACATTAGCTTCCCCCACCGGTTGAGCAATGGTCTCATATAGAATAAAAGAATTGGTGATTTCAAGCCATGAGAGGCTGTCAAAAGAATGAAATGCTCAATCACCACCAAAACTTAGGATGTATTCATTTAGTTTGGTTCGCGAACCATCCTCCCGCAAAAACATTCAGGTTAAATTCACATCAATAATATATATACTCACCAAATTCAGCGTATGCTAGCTACTTCAGTAAGCTTGGTTGTCGGTATTTTAGTTTTCAACGAAAGCACTCAGTTGTTGTGCCTGTCTCCCACGTCTGCGTGAACAGGATTAGCTCTCAAAGCACTAGATGTAACATGCCCATCGAATACGAGCAACGGCACAACGAACGAATTCATTGACCTGTGTAATCCAATCAAAACACTCGAAGGGTGCTGTGATTGGCTACCTGCTGTGCCTCCATGACAACGGTTGTCCACCGTCCACCACGAAACACAATTTTGCCGTATTGAATACAGAATGTTTCGTCTATATCGAATGCCTAGTCATTCATCCGGTATCGTGTGCACGGTACTAGACACCTGTCCTTAACCTTGCGACCAATAGAAACGCTTGTCACAAAGAAAACGGACCGATCGATCTTGAGTTCGTCTGAATTCGAATACATTAGAATAATCAAGTTTCCTTTTACCTTGATTCAGCGCTACTGAGTATTGTTCGGGTGATTTGTCAGAGCACTCTTCAAAACCTGGTTTTGAATGAGTACTCTTGACGCAGTCAGTTGTCTCGTCGATGTTGGCAAATATAATGAGGATAAAGATGTTGAAACGAAAGACGTAGTAGAAGTGGTCAAATAAAACTCCAAGGAAACGACTAAATCTTCATTCCTCTTAAGCTGTCTACAGTGTTGTAGCCACACCTAAACCGTCCTAAAAGTGATATTCATAAAGTATCATTATTCAGCATCACTTTAGGTCTAAACCTGTAACGGGGGCCAATTTTGAGCAAATCTGACAAAATAATTCGATGTATTGGGTAATTTCAGACGGATTATAAGGGTCTAACCAGTCGCAGTACTCAACAAGGGAATTTTTCAAACGAGTCTCTCCTGCTAAACTCCTAACAAATAACAAATAAAGCAATTACTGTTTCCAACGCTGTTTCCAAATAGCCTCCACGTACTGATTGGGAAAGTCAAAATGACTTTTACTTAGAATTTTCATATGGTATCTTTGAAGAACACCGGATAAGCCATGATAATAACTATAAAAAGCTCTTCTTGTATACATCTGAATCACTTTTCCAGGCCTGGTCAGCAAATGGTGTCTTCGGATTAGAGCAAACTCGCCTCTTGCACATCACAGATGCTCTGAAGTGACCTGCCATTATATAAACCCTGCTGAGGAAGCCGTATTCATTATAGTTGTGTGATGACGTTTCCTCCTGAGTGATAGGATGAAAGTGAATATTGTGCTCTACATTGTGCCTGACATTCATCGTTTTTTCTTGCAAGAGGGCTTGCTAAGCCTGACACTAAATCAACA